TGTCGTCTCCGGACACTCACATCAGGATGGCGGAAGTGAATGCCAACTTCTACTTGGTAAGGACTGCAGTAAGTATAAAGATGAAAACACAGATTAGAATATACGATAAGAAATATCATGGACCAACTTGAAAAAAGTGCACAAAAAGACAAGGACAAAAGGACTGGAACACATAGGACGAAGACTGGTGCACACTCACAACTTGATCTGTTAAACATAAAAGAAAAAAGAAAAAGGATCAGAGAAATCAGAAAGGCTGTGTTCGGAGAACGTGAGCTTCAGAAACCGGGGCGTGAGCAAAAGATGTCAGGTAGATTGTTTTACAGACACTTCGGGATTAACAACAGCCTTTTCATGTAATAAGGGGGTGAGTACATTCTGACTGAACGTCCTGAAAAATAACAGACAAAAAACAAGGAATAAAGGAAAGGAATACATACACTACATACGAGTGTAGACTCCCAACTCACAAATTGGAGAAGAAAAAAAATAAAGAATGCGGAAGGAGCTTTAGCAAAAGTTCGAACAGGTACAAGCGGAACGTGCTAACTCCATTCATATGCATAAGACTGTAAACACGATTTTCTTGGCAGCTCAGGTAATAGACGGATGTGCGGACACATTGGCCGCCCATACTATGAATAATAAAGGCCTAAATTAATTCCCTTGTATTTTTTTCACAGTATCTGCTAATTATTCACGTTTTCTCTAAAACCCTCGCCCCACTAGAGTGAGAAACACCGATTTTTGTCCGGAGACACCACATAGTTCCGTGTCGCCGATGCTCTCCCACTGCAACGGCCAACACCCGCGACAATCGCCGACAAACCATCGACGATGGACGAGTTCTTGTCTGTTGTTGAACTTGAAGCGCAGCAAGCAGTCCCACCGAGGAACATCTCTCGGATACAAACTTATCCTCCTCGCCCGCTTGTGCCCTCTGTTGACTCTCTTTCAACCCTTGTACCCTTCCTCCCGTGGCTTGCTCCGCCGCAAGACCTTCAGAGAAGCCCTTGGCGGCCTCTCCTTGTTCCCGCAGTTCTGGTCCCTCGATTGCTCATAGTGGTCGCGGGCGTGGCTTGCTTGCTGGCGCTGGGCAGTCATGTTGCGAAAGCGTTGTCTGGGGCAGGTTTTGCTCGCAAAAACTTGGTGCGCGATTTGGTGCTTCAAGACGCCGAGCTTTACGCCCCTGCATCAGGATGGATACACCCATGTTCGAGGACTGACCAAAGACCGCTCCGCACGAAGTAGGACACGACGCTCCGCGGCAAGCCATTCAGGCAGTCGAGACTTGTCATCACAATCTGTGATAATCGGCATGCCGTATTGTCCCCCATAAAACGCCTGCCCTCGATCATTCGGATATGAAGTTTCAAACATCCTCAAAATCGGGGTGAAATTCCTTGGTGCTCACCTAGAATCCTTCGAGCGACCCCCTCCAAAAAAGTAACGATTCGAGTATTCTACTTCAGAAAAAGTTTGGCGTCAATTGTCACGACTGTTTGTGGAAAGTCGACAACGGCAAATGAAGAGAAGCTGAAGCTTTAATCAAGAAATAAAGTAATCGTCTCCACTTTCACTGTGTTTGTCGTCGCGTTTAATGCCCAAAGAGCAAAATATCAAAACCGCGTCGCCAGACTCTGTTTTTGTGTGTATTTCGAAGTGTTTTGTTGACAACTCCAGTCCCACTAGGAAAGAAGTTTCCTTTTCCCCGTGTCCTGCGTCGTGTCCGCTAGGTGGGACAGCGTGCGTCGTGTGTTGCTCGTCGTGTGTCGCTCGTCGTGAGTCGCTGTCATTTGTTGCTGTCTGTCGCTCTAGTGGGACGAGGCTATGAGGATGACACACGAGCAGTGTAAATAGTGCATAAGTAGGTGAGAATTCATTGTAGATTTTAGAGAGAGATTGAGCTGTCTTTATGTATTGGCCATTAATCTGCTGCTTTAACAGACAAGGAAATTATGGTTTTAAAATCTGCTCTTGCTAATGGGTGAATCGGTGCATTCCACTTGGGCCTGTGCTTGAGCTCCTTCCGCATTCTTTATTTTTTCCTTCTCTGTTTATGCGAGTCGAGAGTCTGCGCTTGCGTATGGTTTACGCGTTACTGCGCTTGTCTCCTTGACTTTTTGTGGTGAACTGTTTTTCAAGGTGTTCAATTAGTAAAGGTCACCACCTTACTACAATCATGCAACAACTAAAAACAATTACAACCTACACCATTCGCTCAAGGCAGTACCAAACGAAAAAATACAGGTATTGGGTGAGGTATGTCTAACACTATACACTTACACTGAACTAAATATACCTCTCATAAACTGGGGAGACACTGCCTTAATTCAGGACATGCTTGTAAATTTCCCCAGAAGCCCAGAGGCGGCATCAAAAATTATTTCGTGGGCACAAATTTTTGCGATCAGGAGCGGTATGCTATGCAAATCACCATGGGATGAGTTCAACGCGGCACCAAATTTGACAATTCTTTTCTGATAACGAATCACGAAAATAAAGTCGTTTGCAGACGACTGCGCGGCGGAAGCTACGGACTTGCTCGATCAATCAATCTCTGCCTTTTGCCTGGCCCAGCTCTCCGGACGCAAATACGCACACAGCGCGGTGCCCGTCCGCCTAAGCTCTAACCTAGAGGCGGGGGGGCACCGCGCTCTTTCACACATTCTAGTTTACCAGTGAACAATACGGTGGAGGGAGGCAATCAAACAACCCCCCCCCCCTCTCCTTTCCGCCTCCACCCGCCGGCCGCCCGGCCGCCGCCGCCAGCGCCGCCGAACCCCCCCCCCCCCCCCCCCATCTCCCAAAAAGTTCCGCCGCTATTGATGGACCTGGACCGAGTACACAGCCTATTAGTGAACGAAGCAAAACATCCTCGCAATGCACCATTCGCGCACAATTAGTAATACTGGTAAAAGCAAGCGATCTAGACATTAACAAGCATTTTGAACGGAAAAAAGAATAATCTAGCCCTAACGGGCAAAGAAAGGAACTTACTTTGAAACGACCGTGCCATGATCTTGGCTGTTGAGCAGATTTGACGTAGTTCCACGGCTCACAGTCGCTTCCTTCTTTTTCTGACACATTTGAAACTAAGTTAAAATCCACGCATGACGACTAATCGGTAAATTGACCTCAAGACAGAGACGTGAAACACACACGGCCACCACGGCCGGCAAAACAAGGCTGTGGATTGGATTGGATCGCGTTCGTTGGCTAGTATGGATGTCTAACGACTTTACGGAAGCTATGTGCGCGTATCTTCAACACGCTTGTAATAAAACGATCAGCAAAACGCATTAAAGAACTGTTAAAAGACACAGCATTAATAAATCATTGAGCATGTAAACATTGCCACAATATTAGAAATAAGTCCTGAACACGCAGCAAAAAATTACATACGAAACTAACCGTACACTGTATTCAAACGAACTCAGCAGATATATAAACTACTGAAAACATCATACTTCCGATTTGGCGATTTGGTGGGAGGAAGAAGAAGCGACCGTGAGTGGAAGCCATTACTTTACCTTCCTGCAATTCAATTCAACAACGGGGGCCCGGGGCTTCCCCGGGTGACCCTGTTTGCCTAATCTTTGCCTCGAGAGGATGGCGCACGCCACGAGTGGGGAGATCAGCTCCGGAGGGAGCGGTTCGACGGCATCTGATGGCTGGGTTTCCAGGAAGACTTTCGAATCTTCAGACTACAGAGTTATTTTACCAAGGCTACCACAAGGTATTCTTTTCCTGAACTCAATATTTATTCATGCGGACATCACCGGAAGGCCATACAAGGCCAGAGATTTCAAGGAAGCCCTATTTTCTATCGTCGACCGGAAGGACGTCGTGGGCTTAGGCCAGTATCAAATGAGCCACGTCTGGATGATCACCTTCGGAAACGCTGCTGCAAAGAACAAGCTGAAGTCACAGGAGGAGCTCGTCATCAAAGGGAAGAAATGCATCATCATTGACCCGTGCAAAGAAGAAATCACGCTCAAGCTTCTATGGGTGCCTATTCCTAAGCCGGACTCAGAGGTGAGAAAGGTCCTAGAACCCTTTGGAAAAGTCAAGGAAATGACGAGAGAAAAGTGGAGATTTTCAGGTCTTGAGGACTTAGAATCAACGACATTAGATGTAACCCTCGCTCTGAGGCAGGATCTCACGGTAGACAAGATCCCACACATCTTAAATGTATATGGGTCGAACGTGCTCGTTGTAATACCAGGAAGGCCACCACTCTGCCAGAGATGCAAAGCGATTGGACACAACCGCTGGCAGTGCCGCACTCCTCTGTGCCACGAGTGCTGGCGGTATGGGCATACAACTGAAGAGTGCGTCGTGACGTATGCCTCCAAGCTCCAAGGAAATGCATTGCCAGAGACTGACCACAGCGAGCATCTAATGGATATGGAGGAAATCTGCAACGAGGAGCTAACACCTCCGCAAGCGACAGACGACCACGCTATCACAGAAGACGACAACTCAAACAGCTCTACCAAAGACGTGCTAGCGGAGCAAAAGACCAGCGTAGAACAAGACTTGGGACAGGAGGCACCACGAGCCGAACCAGAGATGTCTACAAACAAGGAAAAACACCCGCGAAAGCAACTGACGCAAGTCAAACAGCTGGCGGATGATGACAGAACAGACAGGCGACACAGCAAAAAACCCAAGGTTGATGTCACCGAGTCTGCAAAGAAGGAATCTCAGGCCACAATATTTCCAACAACCTCCAACGACCCACAGAAGAAGCTGAGGCCAGATTCACTAAGAATGTCTTATCTTAAGACATTTTTTCTAAGAAGTTCGTAACTCAAGAACTTCTTAAGATGTGCCGAAATCGGCATTCTCGAAGGGGTTCTTACGAATTACTTACGAACGAACTGGCTACGACAAAATTAAGTGAAGGAAAGAGAGAAACTTCCGGTATCTCGCGATGCTCGCAAACAACGAGAGCTGCGAGAGCGAAGCGTTGCCCTGACGACGAGAGGAGACGCCTTGCCCGCCCCACGTGTAGTTGCTTCATCGACGGCAGTAGTGCGGACCGTAGTCTACGCGAACGATGGCGACAGAGAGCAAAAAACAGCGAAGGCCAAACTTTACGGAGGCTGAATTGGAAACACTAGTCGACGGTTACGAGGCACGTAGGACCGCGATAGACGCGAAGGGCGATGGCCCGCATGGCTCCGCCGCCAAGCAGCGGGCCTGGCTGCAAATCACTAAGGATTTATATGCCGTTTCCGGCGTAAGACGAGACGTGGCCGAGGTGAAGAAGAAATGGGCCGACTACAAGAGCATCCACAAAAAGCGAGGTAAGGCATCCTTTCAGCTTTCTTACAGTTCGCGAAATACGCGAAATAAGTTGCGATAGGACGCAGCAGAAACCGACTATCTCTAACAGTGTCGCGCTGTGTGTATAAGGCCCGAAACGTTTGGCGTGAATGCAGATTCGACGACCGAGCGCATTTTATTACTTAGCTTAGTGCTGCCAGATAATGCAGAAGTCTGTTAGCTTCTTTCAACAACAAAGGACATCAATAGCCCAAGCGTGTAATGAGGTAGATCGGCAATTAAGTTCGCTCATACCTAGTGCTAAACACGAAAAATGATCGCATAGCTCGAAAATATCCTTCGTACATTCAACCAACTAGCCCAAGCTTCAGTCTTGGCAACCTTCATACCCACAGACATCGACTGCACAAACAGTAGGGTGGTAGACTTCGCTACGCGAACGTAATTCGAAAATTAGTGATATTGCTTGGATTAGCATTGCAGTAAAATCTGTTGGAAGTTATGGCCAATCGTTGTCATTAAAGTCGTCTCGTGCTTGTCCTTTTTGTGTCTAGGGTTTGAGAATGTTTAACAGTAACCAGCTCGACTGCCTAATCACATTTCCTAAAAAAAACAGGTTGTATGCTTTTTTTTTACGCAATTGTTTGTATTATTTAATTAGTTCTTAGTACGAACCAACTAACCTAACGAAGAGTCGTGATGTAACTGATAATTCGCGCAAACTGCACCCCACTTTGACCCGTTACTTGATACTGACATGATGCACAGGTGCATCCTTGAAGCGCAGCCAGGGAACCACCGGAGGCGGCGTTGGTGACAAGCCTCTCAATGATGTGGAGGAGAGAATGGTGGGGCTCCTGAGCGTGGAGGCAATGGCCGGCATCCCTGGCGCCTTCGATATTGGGGTTGCGGTCGAGGTACCAATGGACGAGCCCTTCAGCCTGCCGTTCTTGGGTAGGTTTACACTTGGATGAACAAACTGCTTGCATCCCCTCATTAATGGGCGTCATGTGTTGTCACAATTGGTTGCCAAAACGTTCCACAATTGTTATGAGGTTCTGCACATGCAGTAGTTGCATTTCATATGGTCGTGCTTCCCTACTCCAACAACCGGTTTAAATTCCAATCTTCCCAGGCACTCCCGCAACATCACAGGCAGCAAGGCCGGGCTCAGTCGAGCTAGTTCCCTCCATTGGTGAGCTTATCAACTTCAAAATTTAAGTGTAGCATGACTGATCATTTTGCTCTGTATTTAAATGATCTAGACAATGGGACCTAATTATTCCGTTAAACAGGACATGACTGTTCTACATTTCTACGAAAGATTGTGTTTGTATCAGAACAATGTATTTTTTTTTTTGCAAGATACGACTCCAGGACCATGCAGGCCTGCTTCATCGAGACCGCCACGTGCAAGGTTTGCTGCATATAACTTTTCGATTGCTTCTATAATGGTAGCACCTGTATCATTGGAGGAAATTGCATTTGGCATCCAGAATAGACCTACATTTCAAAGTAGAAACTGTTATTTAACTCTTTTTGTTCGAACAGCGTTAGAATGGAGAGAGTTTGATCATGATCTGTTTGCACCTGCATTTTGACCGAACAAGTTTTCTGAAACCACCTCTCTGTAATAATGCCTTCAGGACACTGCAGGTAATCATCGGTAAATAAATACATAACATTGCCCATAGTGGTTATAATTTGAACACCTAATGTTTTTTGTTTGTTTGTATTTTTTGTCTTTCAGCTTATTTGGCGTTCAACGCGTACACCCACAGGAAGACGCAGGTGGGTGGTTTTGGTTCTTTGGGTTGAGCAATCAAGCTTGCTCATCACAACTTGTTGTAGTCTATCGGTCATATGTTAGCCAGCAGTTTACAAGGCAGTGTACTAAGCTCTATTCGTTTTTCTATTCAGAAAACCACGATGCCAGCGGATGTCTGCTGCAAGACGACGGTGGGGCTTCGCTCCGCACTTCAAGGAGTCACAAACCCAACCAAAGGCGTTAGTATCATTCTACTAGATGTGGATTGCAACACCAACCTCACATTGAATCCAGAGCCACACTGCATCAAATATCCAGCAGTGTGATAAAACTAGTCTGCAAATATCAAAACAAGGCAATCTGCCCAGTAACATCTACCGTAGAAAAGACCACTCCTCCCGTCGGCTTTTTTTCACTTGTTCCACGTTTTCTGGGTGCCGTGCATTTCTCTCCGAAAAAAAGTATGACATTTTTTTGCTGGCTAAAACTGATTAAATACCAATATGCCTTTCGTTAAATCACCTAAGCTCCAAGAAACATGATGTGTGTTGTTGCACGCACTGCACATGGTAGTGTGTGCAGCAGCAACTGTTCCATAATAGATACCTACTTTACAAATGACACCTTGCACATGCTTTTGCCTACTTTATTTTGATCATTTACTTCCCTAATTTTCTATAAGATAAGGCGAGTGAATGTACCTACTTCTTGGTGTTCGGGTAATTTAGCAAAAGGTCCCTTGTCTCGTTAACAACTTGTTTTTATCATTCATGCACGCTTCCTATGCCCAACCTGGACATGTATTCTTCACGCGAGTTTCACAACAGTATCATGGAAACATTATCACAAAATGGTTTTCCAATTCTCAATAAGGCAAGCAACCATTTTCCTCTATGTGCAGGTGACATGGAGGACCCTAGCCACAAGATTATCGAATCTCAGCAAGCTATTGTTGAGCGCCTGGACCAGATTATAGAACTGCAGAAGCAGAGGGTGGCACTTGAAGCCTACAAGCTCAACGTGCAGTTTGTAGATGGCAAAATTGTCCCTATGTAATAATAAGAAGACACTCGAGTACAATAAAAAAACATTGTTTCTTTAATACACACAAGGCTTTTCTTTTACCTGCACCCATTGATGCTTAAGGTTTAGACGGAAGAGCTCCAACCGAAATCCAAAAAATGGTTCAGCCCGACCTTTCAAAACCTGCTCAGCTTCTTCATCAGGAGTGACTAAATCGTGAGGAGCAGCAGCAGTTTTCATCTTCTTCTTAGTTGTTTTTGACTCGAATTTTCTTCTTCTATTATACAGATGGTTTCTCGTTTGTTGCCGTCGTCAGGTAGCGGAATCCATGGACATGGACTGCGCCACAGAAGAAAACTCAAGTCGAAAACAACTAAGAAGATGAAAACTGCTGCTGCTCCTCGCGATTTAGTCACCCCTGATGAAGAAACCGAGCAGGTTTTGAAACGTTGGGCTGAACTGTTTTTGCATTATGGTTGGAGCTCTTCTGTCGAAAATGTTCTCAATCAAGCCAATGATGCTTTGTAGCATGCTATCACAAACTCACTTAAAAACGGTGTTGACAAGCTCATTTCTGACTGCGGTGCCAGAGGGTGTGTCTTGGGCGGTGCTCGGCCTGTCCTCTTCTTCCTCTTCCTCATCGTCGGATTCTTCAACTGTTCAGAACACCATATTTAGCACAGCACAAAGGGACATCAACAAGGCTTGCAAGAACAGTTACAACATTGCAATAACTCAATAAGCTGCTGGTAGCACTTTCCAAGGAACGTGTTTACAAACTATAGGGTTCACACATCATTCTACAGGCTCAAACTGAAATATGTAAATTGAACTGTAAGAAGACAACAATATGCAAAGGTTACGGTAAATGGTGCCACCGTACTGCAACATCCTGGAAATGCCCAGACTTGAGTCACTAAATAAGCTACGCTCAGAGTAACCAAACTTTCTCTTCAGACTGTGTTGTGGGGGTACAGTTGGCGATCATTATAATTTTTAAATGTGGCTTCCTGAGCGGTGGCAGGAAGTTCAGGTGACACTGTTTCGCTCTGTTGCGGATTCTTTGAATATTTCTGGAGGATGGAAATCCATTTTTTTTTGCTTTTCAGACATTAGTCGCCCTCTACCATCACGTCACTAGCGGAGGAGAATGGTACCTCTCGCAGAGCAGATGTGAAATGAGCCCAGAGTCGCACCAAACAAGGCTGTTGCTAGCCTCAATCATTTGTGGCATTTTAGTTCATCAGAGCACGAAACCTTTAGCAAATATGTCTTTCTTACCGGGTGGTTCTGCAAGGGAGATGTGGTGGCGAGTGCAGTAGTTGTGCAGGACTGCGCAGGCTACGATCAAGCGGCAGCACACACTAGGAGAGTATTGCAGGACACCGCCGGACCTGTCCAGGCACCTAAAGCGGGACTTCATTATGCCAAAAGTTCTCTCGATGACTTGTCTCGTCTTCGTCAGGCAGTCATTGTAGTTCTCCTCCTCCTTCTTTTGGGGCTTGCGGAAGGGTGTCATGAGCCATGGCTGGAGGGGGTAACCTGCATCTCCTACAATGTTGCAAATAACACAAGATTTAATGTCAGAATGTGCATAAGTAACGCACTCATCACAAGGTTGAACCTGAATTAAACTAACTCACCCTTTCCGCCTCATACCTACATTGGCACAACTCCCACCAATATTTTCTTTTTTAACAACCAAGTCAGCTATTTTAGGCATAACGCAACAAAGCACTCGAGCAATGCTTGGGTTGAGAGCCAAAGGGTCGGCAAATTTAGCTCCCACTATCTGGTAGCTCCGACATGAACAGGCGTAGTATTGGTGTGCTTTCCTAGATAACTACTTTGAGATTTATAGTAAACTCCCAAGAAGGTAGACACGCAGCACTTGCCAAACTTCACTCGGCACAACACATATTGACCGCGAAAAAATTGGTAAGACGCTTAAAGGGCCCGTAAAACAAATTTTGGGCTGGGATAAACGAATTTGGATTGGGATTTTACTAAGAACATTGTTTAGTTGGCCAAAAGAAAGAAGGCAGAAAGTCAAAAACCTAACTGCAAGTACAAAAATTTGAAAACACAGCAGACTATGTCCTACCTCCTTCCCTTTGAAAGCTCTCTGCCTTTTCACTGTGATACATCCGCGGTTCCCAAAGCGCGTCGCCCGGCCAAAACGCACGTCACACTACACCGGACCACACTTATACCCGATACCCTTCAGCTGACAGTGTGGTGAAAGCTATGCAATTGCCGGACCAACCAGTTGCCTCCCTTTCATCACTAGTCAAAGCGTGGCTGGCCCAAAGAGCACGTAGCTTCCACAGCATTGTCAGCTTCGGGGTGAACGGGGTGGGGAAAGGAACTTTTTTCAGAGTTTTAAGCGACAGGTTAATCTTCTAGGAGTAGAATGGCAGTGTCGGGTACACAAACGAGGGTCCAAGCAAGAGTTGAGAAGGTAAGCTAAACAGGAAAAAGTTTAAAAATTGTTTCTTGACCCCTTTAAGCTTAACCGAAATCTATATTTCACAAAACATGGCGGCAGACGCGTGCAACGGGATACTACGAACACCAAAACATCACTCGTGCAGCGATATCTCGAACGGATGACCGTATTTTTCTAAAAAAGGAGGCACATTTGACAGGTATGTTGATATCTTGTTTAGTCGAGGAGAGGAAATGGCCTTGCGTCTTCTCTGCCTCGCCGCCTTGAAGCGAAGAGAGGAGGAAACTAGATATGTTCACGTCGCGCGCCTTGTTCAATCTCGACTTCTTTTTCAAAAATACAGTCGTCCATTCAAGATATTGCCTTGAGTGTGGTGTTGTATAGATTGTAGCGTCCCACCTACCGCTCCTGCATTGTTTTCTGAAATCCAAAATTTGGTTCACCAACCCTTTAACAATGGCACGTGGCAGTTTTTTTTTTTTTTTTGTGCCCTATGTTTATTGTGGCCTCCGAGACTCCCGCAGAATCTAGGAGGCTATACCATATAAGCCCCGGCTCGTTCCCAAGGCATGCAAGCGGGCTTGCGTGGCCTAGTCGGTAGCATGCCGGGCTCGCAACCAAATGGTCGTGTTGGCAGAACAAGCTTCATGACGCAGTTCAAGGTGTGCAAATCGCTGGAATCCCACGATTATTTCACGAGCGCCTCTAAAAGCAGCGATTGAAAGTTCTTCTTAGTAGCCAAATTTTTTGGTTACTAAAAATTTGACTACTTCTTAGTAGCCAAATTTACCAGCACCAAAGTGCTGGTAAATGATGTAGGGCTACCATGTCTGATTCGCTGACTGTTGCCAAGCTGTTAAATTATTGGTACAATGAAGCAAAGGGCAACCATGTCATGAACGTGGAAAGCCGATGCAAAGGCTTGCATGAACATAACCACATTAGAAATGTGCTGTCACACACTGGAAATGAAATGCATCCAAACTAAATAATTGACACTGTATAATCAATTTTCATTGTCTTTTTGAGCTTTCTCTGCCACCCATACCTTTTCTTTCTCGACAGCTGCTCTGTTACAAGTATGCCGATGAAACGATTACCGGCATATGTTAGAAACTTTGTTCCTTAAGGGATTTCTATGCGGCGCAGTTTACCATAATTTTCAATGCAAATGGCTGTCGACTCAATCACCAGCATGTGGTGGTCGCTTGTGCTTAACATAATCTGCCGCAGGTACAGTGGGCATCAGTATGAGCTGGCTCGACAGAACGCCGGCCGGAGCGGTCAAAATCCCTCATGGGCCGCCCCTGATGCAATAAGCTGTCAGAAGCGAGGCTGGCATGTACTGCCGCCATTTTATGCAAGGGGCAGGGTGAATCTATGAAAGTCACCACCGATGCACGGCTTATAGCTACTAACATCCCCCCCTCCCCCCCCCCCCCCCTCCCTTGCATGAAACTTCGGCATTTGTTCCAGCCTCTATCAGGGGAGCCCAATGCGGAATTTTCCCGGCTCCGGTCGGTATCTCGTCGAGCCAGCTCATATGGATGCCCACCGTACAATCCAAGTAAAAACAAAAGTATGTACCAAGCAACCACCCTTCAGGCATGTCCCCCGCCTCAAACTTGTCGGCAAGGTCGCAGTTCCGCCACATGAAACTGTCATGCGTGCTGCCAGGCCATTTCACCGTCAGCTGCGTTATTTCGTTTGAGGCATTGCAGATGGCCTGCACGTTAAGAGAGTCATATCCCTTCCGGTTCCTGTAGATGTGCTGGTCTTGTTTGGCAATCTTCAGGGCGATGTGGGTGCCGTCTATGCACCCCAGCACCTTGGGGAACCCATTGATCTCCAGGAAACCTGGAGGATACACATCAAACAAATGTGCAATATTCTGTCATGCCATGTGCATTCTGAACACTGTTTGCAGCATTGAAACAAGTGATGCAAACACTTTGCCCGAACCAGAGGGGACTTTATAAGTCAGTCATGCCTTGAATGAAGCAATATAACAATAATTTAAACGGGATTAACTGAACAAGAAAGAGGTGAGGGTGCCACATGCAATTTTACTTTCCTTTTTTTTATGCTGGCCATCGTTCAGCCTACTGCTGCGCGGACATTCAATATGCAATCTATTACTCACAAAACATCGCAGCGAGCTGCCTACGCACTCGCATTCCGTACGCTATTCTAGTTCCTGATCGGCTCCCCCTGGTAACTCATAAATTAGCGGCGCGCACGGAAAGCGATCTTCGATGGCAGTGTTTCCGCCCCCCCCCCCCCTTATCAAATACGAGGGTCAGGCAAAGAGAACGGGCTAGAGTGCTTCTTGGTGCGCGTTTATGTCCCTAAGCAAACGGTGCACGACATCAGCGAAACACTTACCGCGTGCAGTGCGCAGTGCGGCCCGCGACGTCGCTGGAAACTTGATTCCGGATTTCGCGAGTTCGCACAGGGCACCGCTCACAGTATTAATAATCCTCGAGGCACTGGTCTGGCTCATGTTCGCAACATCTCCCACCACAGATTGAAAACTGCCGCTCGCGTAAAAACGGAGCGCCAGCAGGACTTGGGCGTCTACGGGCAGCGAATGTGACCGAGCCGTCGGTCGGCGAAGCGCTGGCGCTAGGGCGTCGCAGAGCCGCTGCACAGCGGACCTCGGCAGCCGGTAGTATCGCTCAAGGTGGTGATCGGCTATTGCATCTAGTGTCCGACGGGTCCGGAAGACGCGCTGCTGCCGCAAACTTCGTCTTGCGTCGTTTTCCTGCTCAATCACGAGCGCGATGTAGGCAGCCATTTTGGTCGAACGGTTGCCAAGAAGTTCGTAAGTGCATTTGGACCCCTGTCGTAGGATTTTGTCTTAACTTACGAAAAAACTGAGAACATTTTGCTTCGGGAATACCGAAAAGTTCGTAACTTTTGCGTAAGTTATATTTACGAACTTTTTTGTCGTAAGATAGCTTTGAGAATCCGGCCTCTGGTTCCTAAAGAGCAATGGCTAAAGCTAAAATTCAAAGACCGGAAACCATCTTTCCCGGCTGCCCTAGAACTCGACCCACAAAATGAGTAGGAACCGCGTCACCCCCGCCCAGATAAGTCCCTTCGCTATTTCCACTTTAAATGTGCGAGGGATAAATTCGAGAAAAAAACAATACCAACTGTTTTGGTTTCTAGAGAAACAAGACAGCGACATTGTAGCCCTGCAGGAAACCAAAGTGTCCAAACAGAATTCCTTATTTTCGGGATGTAACCTGTGGATGAACACCTATGATGTGGTCCATTGTCGCGCAATCGACTACTCAGCAGGGTGCGCAATTCTGTTCAAAAAGCATATGAATTACAAAATGTGCAGCGTTCTCGAAGGGACTGACAGCGGGCGGCTAATGGTAGCAAACGTCCTCCTACAAAACCAGCCTTGGCGAATAATTATTGTGTACGCGTACAACGAGAATGCGCAAAGGGAAAGCCTCTTCTCTCGGGCTAGAATTTACGCCGACACTAGGTTTAACGTCATTCTATTAGGAAACTTCAACTGCATTTTAAACAAAAAGGATAGGTTTCCACCAACAAACATTGTAGATCCAAGCGCAGAAGTTTTAAAATCACTGGTACGAGACTGCGACTTGGTAGACTCATCAGCAACATCAAACCAAGCGATCTGCTTTACTCACTTTTAAGGGTCGTCTCATGCACGATTGGATAGAATCTAGATCTCCGGAGCAGTCTCCGGTGCAATGAGTAGCTACAATGTGATTCCTGCCATCTTTTCTGATCATTGTATGGTTCAGGTGACAATAGGCACGAAAACATCTCATAGAACAAGGAAGTCACAGGCCTGGTCCCTTTGGAAAATGAATGAGAGCCTACTTGAAAACGAAGAATTCAAGAAGGGTGTAGAATCAGCTCTTAACAATATCGAGTGTACTAAACATGGGTGGGGACAGAAATGGGAAATGTTTAAACAAGAAATAAGGAAGATGAGCATCGAACTGTCATCAATTGTGGCATACCGACAAAAAATGGGAGAAAGGAGACTTAATGAAGACATTCTCTACCTGTATCGCCTTGAATGCCAGGCACCGGGGAAATACAAAGACGACATAAAGAACCTTAGAAAACAAATGGAAGAACATGATAAACTGCACTACGGAGGAGCCGCAGTATGAACACGTGCTTTGCAAGTCATAGAGAGAGAGCAACCGACGAAGAGGTACCTTAATGCCGAGAGAGAATATGTGAAAAGAAGCGAATTGACACATTACAAGGAAATTATCGGATTTGGACTGATGAAAAGGAAATTCGCGAAACATTTGAAGCCTATTACGAACACATATTTACCTCCAAGCCACTTGCCACAACCACGCAAATGCAGGAATCCTTATTATCTGGGCTACCAATACTACCAAAAGAGACGACCGAAAACCTGAACACCCCCATCGATGTAAGCGAAGTTGAATTAAATATAAAAGAGATGAAAAGCGGGAAGGCCCCAGGTCCAGATGGTTTAACAGCTAGTTTTTACAAGAAATGGAGCAAGAGACTGGCACCTGTACTATTAAATGTTTTCAAGGAATCGTACTGCAACGAATGTCTACCTCCATCATTTCGGAAGGCACACACAGTGTTAATACCTAAATCCAAGGACTTAGACAAGCTTCAGAGGGTAGAAGGTTATCGGCCTATAAGTTAAGTCAATAACGACTACAAAATTTTTGCACGCGTGCTAGCAGGTCGATTGCAAAGCGTAATATCTTTAATTGTTGGGGACCACCAGACTTGCTCTATCAAGGGAAGGAATACACAAACCCACCTTCACATAGTTCGATCTATGTTAGAAATTTGCCAAAAAACACACGAAGCCTCGGCAATTTTACAACTCGGTCTTGCAAAGGCCTTTGATAAAGTTCAACACTCCTTTCTGTTCTCTCTTCTGAGGCACAGACAAGTAGGAGAAAATGTCGAGCGTGGGATAAAACTCTGTTATACTGACATATCAACCAAAATAATAGTCAACGGAGCTCTTACACGATCAATAGAAGTTCAACGTTCGGTCAGACAAGGATGCCCCCTGTCACCCCTTCTTTTTGATCTCTACTTTGAACCACTCTACAGAAGCATCCTGAGCGACAACAAAGTTCAAGGCTTTCGTCTCCACAGCTGCGAAGTCAAGCTTTTGGCCTACGCCGACGACGCTGTGCTTGTGTGCTCCAACAAGCCAAGCATAGAAAATGCAATGTCGCGCGTTTCGCATTTTTGTGCCGTGTTTGGTGCGGCAGTAAACAACGACAAAAGTTGCGGTTTGTGGTGTGGGGAGTGGGGGACGACTCCACCTCTATTTGTTAACATAAAATGGTCCACCGAGAAACCCCGACTGTTGGGAGTACCGCTGATGGCAGTGGACAACCCAAAGGCAATGTGGGACAACGTTGGAAAAAATGTCAAATCAGCTGCACGCATGCGGAACCTCAGATATCTATCAACCTTTGGTAGAGTCGCCGTTTGCAACATTTATTTTTTGTCAAAACTAACATACCTTCTACAGGTTATGCATTGTTCCAGAATAACAGTTAACGGGTTCAGCAGGATATTTGTGACATTCATCTGGCGGTCACCGTATGAGCCAATGAGAAGAACAAATTTATTTCGGAAAATTCAAGACGGGGGCTTGGTCTGGGTCACATCTTTGTGAGACAACTAATTGCCAGATGGAAATTTTTTAGACACGACCAGCATCCTTTCTTGGAGATGTGCAAAAAGTTCTTTTTGGCAAAATACTTGGTACCAGAAGCTGATGACTCGCTAACCACAAGTAAAATATTGTTACGTGGATATTATAAAGAAGTAGCAGACACGTTGGAGTTCCTAAGAGCGAGGTTTGACCTAAACTTTTTAACATCGTGCTCAAAGAAATTACTGGTAAGGAAACTTCTGCTTTCGCTGTTTCCGGACCCAGTGTTTCGCCTGTACCCTTATGACCCTACACAGAATTGCAGAACGAATGTTCTAAAACGAGTCATGAAAATGCAAATTCCTCCCAAGTGCAAAACTTTCTTTTACAGATTTCATTCACATACCATCCCAGTAAAAGAGTGGCTCGACTCCCGCGGCATTGGAGTATACGGAACCACCAACTGTCGTCTTTGCCAAACAAATGAAATGTTCACGCACGCTTTCGTTTTATGTGTAGACGCTGTCTTTTTTTGGGACGTTTTCAAAAGGACACTAAAAAAGGACTTTGAAGTGGTTGAAAAAAATTTTCGGCACTTACATTTTGCGGAAAACATGGATACAATCCAAGATGTTTTAGTTGTACTAGGACTTTATAGCTTATGGAAGACGCGAAAAGTAGATACCGAAGCGGGAGCTGCAAAGCCCTCCTCGGTAAATTTTAAACACATAGCAATTCAAGTTGACCACAGAATACTTGCAAGCCAAGAGAACGAAGAATGGAAAGAAATAGTTAAAAACCTCAGTCAGTCGCCAGATATTGTATAACAGGCAACTACTCGTGGAGAACATATTGTCACGGGTGGTGACCAATAAATAAGAAATAAACAGGAAGAAATAAACGTTTAGTGTGGCGAACTTGTGCCAAAAAAAATAAAAGGGTACAAAAGATAATAACAGAGCGTCGCGGGCGTCGAAGTCGGCGTGACAGCAGAGTCGAACGCTGGGACGAGACTGACTCCGGCTTGCCCACGGAGCCGCTTTTGTACACACGTTGGCTTCTGGAGCATTCGACGTTGAAGGTTCGACGCGTAGAACATTCTGACCTCGAATCAGCTAGACAGTTCTCGATTTCACCAGAACATAACATTACAGTGTTAACAAAAATGTATATCCCCGGCCAGGAATCGAACCCTGGCCCTTCGCGTGGGAGGCAAGCGCGATAACCGTTAGGCTACGGCCGCGCTGCCTACTTGGCGCGCGGCATTACTCCCCCCTTAAAAAGTGCATCGCTCCGATGCATCCCAAAACAAAACAAAGCACATAAAAAGAACGGCGAACTAAAGAGTCACTTCAAACACATAAGATTCACAGTCCTATCGAGCGTAGTACGGCTTCAGGCGCACGACGTGGACGACTTGCGGTCGTGGTGGGCGGCGTGATGATGTTCTTGTTCCGTCAGGCATCACCTCGCAGTTCAGCTCGCCGACGCGACGAAGTACCTTGTATGGTCCAAAGTACCGTTTCAGCAGTTTCTCACTAAGGCCGCGGCGACGCATGGGCGTCCACACCCACACCCTGTCTCCGGGCTGGAAGTGAACGACCCTGCGACGAAGGTTGTAGCGGCCCGCGTCGATGCGTTGCTGGTCTTGAATCATGAGTCGGGCGTGCTGGCGGACTTCTTCGGCGCGTTGAGCAACGGCCTGGGCGTCGTCGCCTCTCATTGTCAGATGGCTCATGGGGCAGCATTGCGTCCAGCATGGTCGTTACCTTCCGACCATGCACCAGCTGGAAAGGGGTGAATCCAGTGGTCTCCCGAACCGCCGTATTGTAGGAAAACGTGACGTAGGGCAACACCTCGTCCCACGTCTTGTGCTCTACGTCGACGTACATAGAGATCATATCGGCGATTGTCTTGTTGAGTCGCTCGGTCAGCCCGTTGGTCTGAGGTTGGTATGCAGTGGTTCGACGATGGCCGGTGCCGCTGAGACGAAGGATCTCTTGCCTCAGCTGGGCCATGAACGAAGATCCGCGATCTGTAATCAGAACTTCGGGAGCGCCGTGCCGGAGGACGATGGACTCGATGAAATACTTGCCGACTTCCACAGCAGTCCCTGAAAGAAGAGCTT